AACGCTCCCTCAATGTTGTGCACTGGGTAACAGTCCTTAGAATTTTATTTGTGATAATTCAGTTGTTCTCATGGCAGCATGTCAAGATGTCATAAGTAGTGATTTACTATTTCTCTGGAGTATCGAAAAGCTGCTGACCTAGGAGAGTTTCACAAAGGCCTTGTTTACAACAGATTTCTAAAGGGGGAGGGGCACCACAAAAACACTGAAAGACACACCACTGTTCTAATGTATGAAGATTTCCTCTTTTATGCTCTTGCTGCATTACACATCTCTAAAATGAAATGTCAAAATATTACAGTAATATAAGGAGCATCACGATTACCTCCTAGAGAAGAATGGCATGTGCGTTTTTATACTGGTCTGTAGCATGATTTATCTTAAACTTAATGAAAAGAAGTTTAAAATAATTACCTGTCCAAGCGTTACTTTCTAGTTATACTATTTTAAACAGAACTCAAGCATTAACAATACCATGCAAGCAGAGTCACTTCTTTTTGGTCAATTCCAAGCCTCAGGTGTTGGTCAAAGCACTTTTCAAGAAACTTGACAAGAAATGCTCAAAAACCACTTTAAAAAGGAACAAAAGAAAAGATCTAAGACTGCTTTGAACACACTCTTGTGGTGAATATTTTCTGTGAAACACCACAGTGCAGCTAGTCCCGAAGCGAAGCTGGGATGGAAGTGATGTCACTCCTATGAGAAAGGCTGCACTGAAGAAAAAGCACTCCCTCCACTCTGACAGTTCTCCAAGGGTTCTGATACCCCCAAATCCTCATTTATTTAAAAAATGATCTTTACCAACATGACATCTCTCTTTAAGGCCTCCAACCCAGCAGATGGACCTCAGTCTACCAGTTGAGTATCTTTCTTCGGTTTACTTTAATCAATATTTTTTTAACCTAATAGGTATCACCAAATCACCTTTTTCCAGTAGCGAACATTTGAGTTCTCAGGGAGTTAAAAACAACAACAAAAAAACAAAAACAAAAACAAAACCACCTCCCTGAGAATAAAAGGGCAATTAGATTCCTAAAAGAGAAAGTGTGTCTTCATTTGCATAACAATGAGCCAACTAGGATTCAAGCCTGCCACACCTCTAAACACCTCACCAGGGTGCTAGAAGTAGGCTGGAAACCAACCAAGTCCAGTATTAGCAAACAAGCCTGGGGTAGTGGTCCCCCAAGTAACTGGTGGAAATGATTACTGAAAGTATTTGAATGTGCATATGTGAGTATATATATATATATATACACACACACATGCACACACACATAAATTGGGCATGGCTTTTCTGCACAGCTCTCAGTGGTTTCTGAGTCTTAGTGGCTGGACAGGAATTTTCTTCTACTCAACATGCAAGAAACATTTTTTTTCTGTTCATAGGAGAACGGCACAACCAGGTGGAAATAAATAAGCCCTTCAAAATGGAAATTTAAAATTTAACTCTGCTATTGGTAACGGACCAAGGTTAAAAATAGCCACTCAATGTAGTAGACAAACGTGTATCCTCACTGTCTTTCTTAAGCTCCAACATTCCACACAGGAATAAGACCTACATAACGACCGGGGAAACAAAGATGACAGCTTTCCATCAACTGCCAACCCTTGTCGCTTTGCTTTTACAAAAGGACCAACCCCCACCAGGTTAGGGAGGAGCGGGGGGTAAGGCGACAACCTTTCAAAACTCTCCCAAAAGTTACATAAACAAAGGAGGGGAGAAGCCCAGTGTGGGCTTTGCACCCATGTGCTTCTAAAATTACATAACACCCGGTGCAGGCATTAAAGGAGGAATGGATTCTGCACAACACCCCCACTCCCTTGACTCCCAAGTCTGCCCCCTCCACCAAAAAAAAAAAAAAAGAAAAGAAAAGAAAAAAGGAAAAATCCAAATGCCTGGCAAGACCAAATAGACGACTTTGGCTATTTAATTTATTGCTGGAGTAAAAACTGCAAGAGTTAGAGGCATGTTTAGGCCCGAAGTTTGAATGTGCAACAGCCCCAGGGCGCAGCGACTCCACTCTCTGGACCCGTAGCAGAAAGAACTGACAAGGACAGCGCCAACGAGGCCTTCTTCTTCCCCCTCACAGTGCCTCCCGCTGGAAAGTTTTCCAAGCGATGGATGGGAGGGCGAGGAGCCGGTTCCCCCAGCTAGCCTGACTTTGCAGGAAAGGCGAGCTGGGAGCCCGGCGGGGGCTGGCAGGGAAAAAACTGGAAAGCTCCGCACACAGCGGGCTACGGCGGCGCAGACTCCTTACCTGGGGGACTCGGAACAAAAAGAGGCGCGGGGCTCACCCAGCCTGCAGTGGCGGCGCCGGGGGCAGCGGGAAGAAGTGGGGGGGTCTCCCCGCCCCGGGCTCTAGGCCCGCTCGGGAGCCCGCGGCCCGGCTTCCTCCCTCGCGCGCGTCATGTCACGGCGATCAAACATGTCTGTGTGCGCTTCGCTGCTGTGACTTCCTGATTCTCTGGCGCTCTCGCGCGCACACTCACCCTCACACTCACAGCCACACGCACACACCACCCCCAGCGGCCCCCGCCACCAAACCTCGCCTGGTCCACCCCGGGCTCCGGGAGAGGGCGCGGGCAGAGGCGGCCGCCTGCGCCGCTGCTCGCGACGCACTGGCCCCGGCGCGCACCCCACTCTCCCTCTCGCGCAGACACACTCGCGCCGGCCCCCAGGGCGCGGGGACGCGAGCCGCGGGAGCCAGCTGCCCCCTCCCACCGCCACCCCCCCAGCCTACTTAGCTGCCTTGCCAAACTTTTTTTTCCTGCCTGATCCACGTCCAACTTCCCTCCACCCCACCCGCTAGCAGTCCAGGCAGCCCCGCGCTCGCCAGGATCGGCCGCAAACGGCCATCCGGATAAAAATAATAATGCAATCCAGGCGGAGCAGGCGGGGGCGAGCGTGGAGACACTGGCAGGAGGCGATTTCCCCGCGTGGACCGGAAACCAGCCGGAGCGCTGGGACCGGGGCGCGGGGGGTCCCCTTAGAGTCTCCACTGCCGCACCCCGCCCGGCGCGGTGCGGCCGGTCCAGACGGCGAGGCCTGGTACCGGGCACCTGGGGCACCCGGCTTGGCATGCGCCTCGCAGCCGGAGGGCGCCCAGCTCAGGGGCTGGCGCGCCGGACCGGTTATTTGGGGAAGTGCATCGCGACACCTTTGCAGATGGCACGGCCGTGTTTTGCAAAGCCAAAGGGAGGAGGGAACACAGCCGGATGGCGGGGGAGAGCGGAGGAAGGGGTAGACCAGGTTGGGATGGGAATAAAAGCAAACTCGAAAGCAGGCGAGAAGGAAGGGGTGCGTGTCATCGTCGGGAGGAGGCTCCCACCCGGTCTCCCCGCCTCCCGCCCCTGCCACCCGCCGTACTCCCTCCCCTGCGCGGCCCTTCTCCTCCAGCGAACGCCACCGCCGCTGCCCGGGCGCGCGCGGGTCCTGTTTGTGACAGTCGGGCAGAGAGGATTATCCGGATCATGGCTTCCCCGGCCCGCGGCCACGGTGGCTCTCCCCGACCCCAGCGCACCCCCTAGCAACCGAACCCACGCCGGCGACCCACGCCCGCGGTTCCCGTGGCTGGAGCTAGGGCAAGCCGCACAGCAAGAGCAAACCAAGCCGGAGAGGGGGCGGGCAGGGGACCTGAGCCCAGCGGGCACCTCCTCCCTTCTTCGGGGCCTCCACCCTCCCTTCCCAACAGTGCGGCCCAAGCCGGGCCCCCCGAACTTCAACACCTGAGCCCGCGCGGTCGCCAGGGAGCTGGGCGAGCAGAGTCCGCAGATCCCCGGGCGCAGCCCCTCCGCCGAAAGGCTCGCCCGCGGGCCCGCGTCCCCATCCTCGCCCCAGGGCGCGAGCAAAGTGGAGGCAACACCTCCGTGCCCGCACGCACCGGCCCGCGCCGGGGGCGCCGCCTTCCCCGCGCGCCAGCTCGCGCTTCTCCCGCGGGGATCCGCCGGCGCCTCGGCGCCCCGAGCCCTTTCAACAAATCCGGCCGAAAGCTGATGGCAGCCGCGTTCCGAGGCGCCCCTCTCGCAGCCGGGGCCGCTCGCCCTGCGCTCCCGCGCTCTCCCAACTCTTCCGGGGAACACAGCTCGGGAAGAACTGTCGGGTTCCCACCCTCCCCCCCCAGCCCCCAGCCTCCCCCGCCTCTTACACACCCCCCTTTCAGGAGAGGGGGGACTGCAACCTTGCCGAGCGCGCGCGCGCGCGCGTGTATGTGTGTGTGTGTGTGTGTGTGTGTGTGTGTGTGTGTGTTGCAACCTTGAGTTGGCAGAGCTTCCCTGGACTGCCCGCCCGGGGTGAAGGCTGTGGTTTGTTGGGATTTCCCCCCTGCTCTTCTCGAAGTAGTAATTATTCCTGTTATTATTAGAGCAGCAAGGTTCGGTCGAAACTTTCCCGTGTCTTCCACCGCCGCCCGGAGCTGTGGCTAGAGCCTTCCACCTGAGGCCCGCGGGGAGGAGGCGGGCTTTGTGTTGCGGAGGCTGGCCCGCCTGTTTGTTTTGGTCTCCGTGCATGCACAATAAATAATAATTAGGATAATAATGCATAATGCGCGGCGCGGCGCGGCGCGGGCGGGGTGGGTGCCGTGGCTGCAGCCTGCGGCCCGAGGGTGGGGTGAGCAGAAAGGAGTTGTAAGTTCTATTTACCTTGCTCGCGAGGAGTGCGCTGGCTGAATCTCTTCCCTCTGAGTCACCCAGAGTACAGAAGCAGAGGGAGCGAGGACTAGATTATGAATATGACTTCATTGATGACAGCCATCCCCTCCTCTTCCTAAACTCCGGCTCCGCCCCGCGTCCCACCCTCGCCGCCTCCACGGGCGCCGGAAGACGCGCCGCAGTTGGCCCCGCGCGCCGCCCCTCCCTGCGCGCCCGGGCGCGGGTTGGCGGGACGCGCTTGTCACTCGCTCGGCTCAGCGACTCGGGGAGCTCGGGGTGCGGAGGGGGGGCGGGGTGCAAGAATGTGGCTCGAGACAGCTCTACTGTATGCGTGGATCCGTGTGTGTCTGCAAGGCGCCGGCTCTCGGGCCGCCTTTGCGCCTGGAGCAGAGAAACTGCGCAGGGCGCAGGCTGCCCCCGAGCTTAACGGAACTGGACGCCCGTTATCCCTGCGCGGAAGGTCCTCTTTCTGGGGCGCCGGGCGCGTCCCTGAAGGCTCAGGAAGCGAAAGGGAGGACAAGCCGTAGTAATAGTGCGTAGTAGTTTGGGGGTATGTGGAGAAGGTGCTGGAATTTGGCTGCGCCTCCGCCAGCCCGAGCCAGCCTGCAGGGAGCAAGCGAGGGGCGGGGGAGGGATCCGAGTGGCAGCGAAGCTGTTGTGGCCGCGTTGACCACGAAAACCAAAACCAAAACCAAACAAAAAAAGCAAAACAAAACAACAACGCATTGTCGTGCCAGCTGAAACTTTTTCTCCTCCTCCTACCCCGCCCCCCGCCCCACCCCGCCCCCACCCCACCCCCACCCCACCCCCCGCCGGAGGTAATTATAAATCTGCCCCCTCTCTCCCGGGTGGAAAGGGAGGCAGGCACAAAGAACATTCCTGCCAAATCTGTCTCTTCTCTAAAGGACTGCAAGCAAGTGCCAATAAGGGAGAAACAGCTGAGAAGCTGAACGCCTTATACATAAATAAACCCGCCCCAACCTCTCTATTTACTTTGTGGACCAGACAAGGTGCACTTTAACCTCCTCTCACCTGTCATCTTGGGGTAAAATCTATACAAAAAATATATAGATCCACCACCCTGTGGGGGCGGGGCAGGAAGGTTAGGGGCACTGGAAGCAAAGAAATCTGCTTTTGATTTAGAAGGGGAATAAATCTCTTCTGCTCTTCCCTCCAACCCCACACTGAAGACCAATTAAGGCTACAAAACAGTTAACTATGGGCATTTTGCAGTTTTTAGGCCTCTTATGTCAGTTTTCCTTGAAATACAGTACCTTGACCCGAGGAGCAGGTCACTGAGTGCTGAGACAATTTTATTTTTAGTTTTAGGAAGTGTTAGATTTTTAAATCAGGGACCTATTATTTTAGACTCAGATTAAGGGCACTTGACTATTAAAACTCTTCCCTACACAGCAGTGTTAGGAAGAGTATGATGTGTCCTTTATTTTCTAATGCAGTGCTTTAGTCCTTCAACCTGCATTATTGTTATAGGGCAGGGAGAGGGGCAGAGGGGCAGGGAACCTCCCCCTTTCCTGGGGACCACCCTGTTACATTATGACTACTTGGCTGGGGATTTGCTCCTCCCTTCTCTCCTCCCTCTCCCCCTGCCCCAGTGAAATCCTATTTTTGGATCATTTTATGTCGCTAAACTGACTCTATTTGAGCAACTGGGTCTGAAATGCAGTTCCAGCATGCTTAGGACCATACACTAGATAAGTTGAAGGCAAGACACAATGTAAAGAAAACCAAGTGTTGCATGTGGTCATGAAGTGGCAAGAACTGTTTGTGGCGCCTGGGGCATTGCTGGCAAAGTAGAGTCTACACTGGCACTATTTTTCAGGGGCCTGGATGTGTCAGTGATCACCTGCCCTGTTTTCTAAGGCCTATTTCTTGCTTCTTAACTTTAGCTTTATCATTTTCTGTCAGTCCTGAAGTGGACCTCCAGACAACAAAAGATAACACATCTGAAAGAAATGGATAGAACATGCCCTGAAGAATCCACTGCACGAACTTGTTTTTCTGACCAAGGGTATGAAAAATAGTTTAACCAGATTAAACTATTAACCTGGAAATATACACAGGGACACCTGAAATTAGTAATGCAGTAAAATTTGTATCTGCCTAGTAGATTATAACTAGTAATATAGCCAGATAACCTAATTGTCTATAAAAGGGCTTTAACCTAATAGCAATATTTATTGCCTTAGGTACTATTAGGTTTTAATGTGGGGAGGAAGGGCCTACTTGTTATCCTGGCATGCCAACCTCACATGGCAATTTTCAAAAATTGGTATCTTCCTATTTATTCCTTTGGGAATAAGTGCCATTTAGCCACTGAAGATTCCACCTTCACCTACCATACCAAATTTCAAAAAAAAAAAAAAAAAAAAAAAGCAGTCATCTTGGTAAGCCATTGGAGGAAGAGACTGACCATAATGTCATAATGTCATAATGTTAGAGAGAAAGTAAAGAAACATGACTGCTTTTGTTACATATGTCATTCTTCAGTTCACACAAAAGTTGAATGCTATACTTGGAGGAATTAGGATCCATGTGTTATATGCACAACTATGGGAACTGAAAAATAGACTATCATTGGGAGCAGAGATTAAATACAGATATTGCATCTCCCTTTCCTTTCACATTGGCCTAAGAAAGCACCACCTTCTCCCTTCAGATTTCTCCTCAATAGAATCATCTTGTTTGTACCTTGCACTGCAGCAAGTAGAAATTTTATCAAATAAGGTGTACACTCAGTAGAAATGAAAAGGCAGCACCATTTACTTGGTGCAAAAAGAAGATTGGAGAACACAGAGCATGAGCTTCATCTCTGAGGTAAAGCAAAATTTAACAATTGATATTAAGGAGGGGAATGATGGGGTTCTGTTATTTTGCAGAAAATCACACAAAAGCAATATGTTTGGAGGCTAAAAGGACTTCAGGAGGCTGCACAGGCTGCTGTATTCATACGGAGCTTTTCCTTTTGGACTTTGATGAGTCATAATGTGTTCCCTGAACTTGCTGTTTTGTTTTTTTTTTCTTTCTAGTTTGGCAGCAAGCAATAGAAATCACGTTTTCATGGCTATATGGTCAGATTTGTGTGTTGTGTAAGTCGGCTGTGGTTGACACCCTGTATAAAGTAGACATTGGGTTTGAAACTGATATCTAGTTACAATACCCTCCTAAAATAAAAATCCATGCACAAAGTTAGGATGTTTCTAGTCATACTGGCTACACTATTAATACTGACTGAAAGAAATGTCTAGCTTTAGGCAGGAACAGGTAAGACCACTTAGGGAATGAGTACTTCATCTATACTATTGGAAACTAAATTTGACAAAGTGAATCAGTTGACATTTAATTTAGTTAAGAGATTTGAATTATTGAGAAAAATTACAGAAATAAACACTCCTCTCTCCTGATCAACTTTCTCAATAGACTTTGTTTTTCTATAATCATTCCTCCAACACACCACTCCAATTCTGTGATCATATCACTCTCTAACTTAAAAGCCTTTGTCTGCTTCTAATCTGTTAAATGATCAATTTCAGACTTCGTAGCATGTCACCCAAGGCTGTGCATAGACCTCCCCAGATGCCTGAGCTCCAGAAATCTTGTCTACCTGCCATATTAGACATACTTTCCTCTGACTGAAATACAGTTCCCCCAACCCACATCCTCCAAGCCTCAGCTCTGGCCCAGCACCTTCTGGTGGCCCTCCTTATCCTCCCCAGGCAGAGGAAGCTGCTTGTCCTACTCTGCTCCCATAGCAACCAAATGCACCTCCATTATAGCACTTATCACTTTGATGCGATTATTTGTTTGGTCTCCTCCACTAGATGGTTAGTGCCTGGAGGGTGCAGAGCAAGTTCAATTCATCTCTGAAACCTCAGCAATTAGCTGGATGCCTAGTGCATTGTATGTGGTTAGGAAAAAAAAAAATTATTAAATGAAAGGATGAGAGGATACATATATATTAAAATTATCTAATATAGGAAATTTAGCAGGTCTTTGATATTAGTGATTATCATGTTAATGAACAAGATTACTAAGTGTTCAGAATCTTGATGTTACTTTCCAATCTGGAAAGGCTAATATGCCTTTTGTTTTTGTTTTGTTCTGTTGGGAGGGGGCATTGTAGAAGGTGCGGCCAAGCTTTAGCTCTTGCAGTCATATAAGGAACATTGAGAACAGGTTTTGTTTAGTTTTTAAATTAGTCTAGGGATAACATGAGTGCATACATGGCAATGGTGTAATACAGTGGTAAGCAATTATATTACAGCTCCCTTTTATTTTCCTTTAAATTATATGGAGATTTCTGGACCTACTAAACATAGAGCTTCCATATGATCCAGCAATTCCACTCCTAGGTATTTACCCAAAGGACACAGAAACATCAATTCCAAAGAGCACCTGCACTCCTATGTTTATAGCAGCACTGTTTACAATAGCTAAGCTTTGGAAACAACCCAAATGCCCAAAATAGATGACTGGATCAAGAAGATGTGGTACATATATACCATGGAATATTACTCAGCATTCAAAAAAGATAAACACATGCAATTTGCAGCAACATGGATGGCGCTGGAAGGGATCATGCTCAGCGAAATAAGCCAAAATGAAAAAGAAAAATACCGGATGGTCTCACTCATAGCAGGAATCTAGAAAACTTAATAAGGGACCAGGAAAATGAATATAAGAAAGTGAAAATCAAAATCAACAAAAAACTATGAACCAGAGACACTTTTGGGGTGTGGGGGGCGGAGGGGAAGGATTGGGGTCAGAATGGGGCGTTTGCAATTGTATGGGGGAATATAAAAATAAAATTTAATATTTAAAAAAAAAAAATAAATAAATAAATAAATTATATGCCCCTGTTTGTGGAGAGACATTCACAAATGCCATTTACTTCACTTAATCCTATGGGATATGTGATACTGTTCCCTGTTTTATCCGTGAAGAAACAGAGAGACAATAAGTAATTTACATAAAGCAGCAGTCTCCAAAGTAGAAGATCAAGGCAATTCATTGTGATTTGGGAAGTGTTAAAAATTCTGTATCTGGGCCTCCCCGGTGGCGCAGCGGTTGAGCGCTGGGTTGCGAAGCTGCCCGCAGCCTCTGTAGCGCCGGTTTGATCCCCGGCCGTTGGGCGAGGGTCTGACATGGCGTGCAGACCTCTCCTGCCGCCTGCTGCTCCCCTCCGCAGTGTTCTTCGTCAGCCTGCCTGTTCTGCTCCCTGCTCTGGCTCTGGTGAATTCTCTCAGTACCCAGTGCTTGCATAAATAAATAAATACATTTTTTTAAAAAAAAATTATGTATCTTTTTCCTTTGATGACTTAAAAAATGTAATAATGTAACAACCAAAAAAAAAAATTATGTGTTTGTTATAGTCATTGACCTTGGTACTGTTTATAGGGTCCAAGTAAACTGGTCATGTAGCAAGTAGGTATCTAAGAAATTCAGAAGAGACGACCACAGGCAGAGAGTAACAGCAGCTCCCCTTCCATCCTTGTACTTTCAGGGCATATGTATTGGTGGAAGTTTACAGCTTCCACAGGTTATATTATCAAGTTCTAACCAATCAACCCCCTTATTTAGGAAGCAGGTGACTTAACTAGGAATCCTTCTTTAAGAAAAAGAATTTAGGAAATCAATGATTGAGACAAATCTGATAATACAAGCACAGGTGAAAAGTGAAAATGAAGAACAAATCTGCCACCTTAAAACCTCCAAGAATTCTTTGCCAGCCATATTGAGAAGTGAAAGTGATGGTCTAATTGGAGCTGACAAGAAATAGGTCAAAAACACTCACAATTATCCAAGACTACTTGAAATTTATATTCACTATCATTACTGATAAATTCTGACGTAAGCATATATTTCACCTTTAGATTTTAGCTATTGGGAGTGTGATATCATAATGATGTGTAAGATATTAAACTTTTCTATCATCTTTATCTCATTCTTTTATAACTCCTAGTGTGTGTAGGTCTTATAAAGCGTTTAATACATTAATACTGAATATATGTATTAAGAATAACTATACATAAATCAAGCTCTCTCTATTCTGTTTCCTTCTTTTTAAATACTAGGGTGATATGATCAAACAACTTGGAGATGACCGAATGAAGTCAGAATTTTTAACCCAGCTTGGTAAAACTCCAAACTCAAATTGATCTATGTTGCTCCTATAAAAACTATCTAGTTGGGCCTCCCTGGTGGTGCAGGCAGTTGAGCGCCGCACTGTGAAGCTGTCCGTAGCCTCTGCAGTGAGGGATTGATTCCAGCTGGCCGGTGAGAATCCCGCATGGTGAAGCAGACCTCTCCTGTCTCTCCTGCTGCTCCCCTCAGCAGTGTATTTCTTCAGTCTGGCTGTTCTGTTCCCCTCTCTGTCTCCAGTGAATCCTCTCACCCTCCCACGCATCTGGCCTGTACCCTGGTTCTTGTATAAAAATAAAATAATCTTTAAAAAAATCTATCTGGTAATTTATCATGAATATAGGATTTTTAACTCATAATGGGGCCAGGAAGAGAAGTATAATGTAAATGATCTTTGGAGCATTTGAGAATCCCATGAAACTGTTCAGAATTCTATGACCATGTTAAAATGCACATTCTGCATTTAATCTGTATTTCATCGGATTCTCAAGGGTATTGCCCTCAAAGAAAATTTGGGTGAAAATTACTGCTATAGAGCTATCAGCGGCATCAGTGACCCAGCACACTTTATGATGAGAAATTAACCCTCCTCATGTCTTTCATAAAACTAAGTACATACATTATTATAGGTCCAAACATGTCTTCCCTTAGACCTTATAAAACTCAACATTTCTCTAGATAATTCAAATGCATTCTAGCTGCTCAAAGGAAGGCTTCATTTGTCTCTGCAGATAAACTTTAAAGGAAAATTTCATTCCAAACAATTTCCTCAATAGTACTCCATTATATATGGATACATTTTCCTTAATTCAAATTAGTAACAAGAAAATTTTAGTTCATGATTACATTTTGTGTGTCAGGTCACATATGTTAACAGCAAAGCCCATAAAATTTCCCACCTGATGAGAGCTTAGACTAGGGAATTTGCTAATAATGTTTCCAGAGTCCAAGGTTTGGTAGATTCAGATAAATTTGTTAGTTGCTAGTCATTGTCAAGGGCATAGAATCTGGCCTGTGCTAATTTGTGCAACAGTGTTCAGGGTATTTTTTAAAAACTGGGTAAAACTCTAGAAGTTGTTTTCATCTGAGAATTAACTGTTAACATAAACATTGAAAGAGAATATCAGTTAGGTAACTTTAAACATCTCTCTTTTTAGGGCTGAATTCTCAATGTACAGGACAAATTAAACTTTTAATCAGTATTCTGTTGAATGATTACAACTTTTCCTTCCGCTCCAGGAAAAAATTCCCACTTTAGTAATGGATTCATTGCCAGACTTAAAAAGCATTGCCATACATGACATCTGATACAACGTTAATAATAGGAGAAACTACTCGGAGCAGCCAAATAACACTGACAAAAGCATCAAAAGTTGCACATTTAGAATATTTATATATTGAGAAGATGTGGAAAGTAAAAATGAAGAAATATCATTGAAATCTTTTGAATATTAATTTGAGAATCTATAACACATGCCAGCAGGGCTCAGCAACACTAGGAGGGTGTTGGCCATCATCAAGGGGGAATTTGGATACATGACCTCCCTCCTCTTTTTTCCAGTGAAGTTCTTCATTGGACAAGTCATACAACTGTGACTTGTGAAACTTTTCAAACTTCACTTATAAAATGGAAGGATTTGTGTCAACAATAAACAAATAAACCTCAAATTTTCCTTCCATCATAAATTCTTGGTCTCGGTTTCCTCATCTGTAAAATCAGGATAATATAATAACGGCAGTTAACACAATTATACAACAATTGCAAATGATGCAATGTGCATATCATGGATAACACAGAGAAAAAATAAATGAAGCTGCTATGATTATTTTAACTCCATCGGTCCAAGAAGTTGGAAACTGGCTTTTCTCTGTCCTCATTATTTCCTAACTCCAGAGTTTAACTATTTTCCAAACTACTAACTCTCATTGGTGTTATTGTCCTGGCAGGTCTTAATGATCCTTTTTCTCATATAGATGATGTTCAATCCCTTCAAGGGATTTCACTTCTTCCTTCTCTTCTGTTCATTCTTGGGCAAAACCTCAAGGTTGTCTTCTTACTTAGTCCTTAAACTTCCTTTCTAAATTCTCAGTCACTCCCATGGCTCACAAACAAGGATGTTAAGTTTGATCTCTGACCAAAATTTCAGTCTCTCATCTCCAGCTGCCCCAAAGCTATCCATATTTAACAGCTCCTTTTTTTGTCTAAAGCATAATTTGTCATTTCATTTAAAAATAGCACCCCTTCAAGCATCTACTTTTCTGTAAATAACTTATTTTATTATTTCACCCATTTTTGATAATGACAAACAATGACCACATTACTGAAAATTTGATTAAAGGAGAAAATCACCTACAATGCCATGACTCTGTGCAATCACCGTGAATGTTTTTAGTTGTAGTTCTTCCTAGTCTTTTCCATTGTATGTGATTTTGCACCATTGTAATCACAGCCTGCAATTCTAACTGTATCTTGCTTACAATTGTATTTCATAAGGATTTTCCATGTTAAAAAAGCTTTCATAATGTACTGTTATCTGTTTCCAGTAATTCTCTCCTTTTGCATACCTGGCTAACTTTAATCTTGTTCACAGTCCTGCTTTACACATCAAAAAACTTGGGTGATACTGTTGCTACAAATAATGAAGGCCAGGCTTCTCAGTGAAGCTCAGAGGCCCTTCTCAAACAGAAGTCCATCCTTTCCAGCCTTCTCTCCTATTAGAAAACCTTTCCATACACTGACTATACTACTTACCATTGTGGGCACAAAAAATGATCATTGCCCCAGAACCTTCTATCCTACCTGCCCATAAAGCCCACCTTCTGGTCCTCTACTCTCCCTTTAGCTCAGGCACTACTTGTTCCCCAGAAAGGCTCCTCCACCCTCCCCATCCATTGTGGTTACTCGCCTCACTTTCTAAGAATTTCAACCTGTTACCTAAGCTAACCTGCTCAACAAACTCTAGAATATTTCTTCTGTCTCTCTGTGTCCTGGGAGCTCAGCACAAAGGGTATGCTCAATAAATATTTATTAATAATGATGACGATGATGCCTACTGTCAGCACAGCTGTTCTTTCTACGATAATGGGGAAAGCAGTAAGTGAGCATGACGGAGAAAATTCACTCTGGTCCTCCTTAAATGCTGCCAAAAGTTCTAGGAGATTTGCATATAGTCTACCTCAATAGCAAAAGCATAATCAAATTTGGGAAGTAAGTAAGGAGGGAAGGCGGGAAAGAGAAGATATCAAGGAGTATTTTTGACTTTGACATAATGTATTTCACTTATGATATAGCAGAGATAAATACTAACATTCTTAGATCACAATGAGCTGAAAGACAGCTTAACGGGTGGAGACAGAACCCAAATTAGAAGCCGAGACTTTGTAAATCCAATTAATGCATTTTAATCATTTGATAAGCTGTATGGTTTGATGGTTAAAAACTTAGGCTCTCAAGTGGTGTTTTCCAGGATAAAATCTTTTACCAACTACCAGTTGCATTATCATGGAATTGTTTTTTTTAAAGATTTATTTATTTATGCAAAGGGGTGTATGTGTGTGTGTGTGTGTGTGTGTGTGTGTGTGTGTGTGTGAGGGGTGAGAGGATTCACCAGAGACAGAGTGGGGAACAGAACAGGCAGATTGACCTTGACCGAAGTACACTGCTGAGGGGAGCAGTGGTCTGCTGCACCATGTGGGTTGCTCCCTGGCAGTCCAGGGATCGAATTCATGCTGCAGAGGCTGTGGATTGCTTCATAGTGTGGTGCTTAACCCCTTGCGCCACCAGGGAGGCCCTCATGGAATTTCAACCTAGTTTTTCTATGCCTCGGTTTTTCCATCTGAAGTAAAGGCTAAAGCACTGGAATTTTAGAAAATGTTCAACAACTGATTCTCTCCTCCGAAACTCTGATTTGTAGCTATATTGATTGCCATGTATAAATATTCCCAGAATGGCTGATTTCAAGCTACCCATAAGCTCACAAAATTCCTGACAATTTAACAATCAATTCCTCTACATTCCTCACAGAGCTGTTGTGAAGATTGAGTTAATATGTATAATGCACACAGAATTGGCCCTTGTTTGTCATAGGCTTAATTTGATAAATATTAGCCATTTTTATCACACCATTTTAGTTTGCCTTCTATGGAAAGGAAGGATAGAAATAGCAAGTACTATTGGAAAAAGCAGTTGCCTTGATCTTACTTCATTTCAGCCTCTTCCTAATCACATGTTTCACGTTCACTACTGCCAAGCAGCCACACTGACTTACTTGAGTTTACTTTCCTCTTCCTTAATTCATCTTTTCTTGGAGCATTCTAAGAATCAAGGACTGGCTACAAGCCACATACCAGGAAAGAAAAGGGTTATAAAAGTAAGGATAATCTCAACTGAATAAATTTCCTGAATATCATTTTAAGAAAGGTTTTTCAGCACTTACTCAAACAACTATATGTGAAAGTTAATTTGGATACAATTACTTATTGCCCATTTTGGGAGGGGAGAGTATGAATTACATTTTACCTAGATCTTTTCAAAATCATTCTATTCTCTGGCACAAAATAAATAAGAAATTTTATCAGAAAGAATCCTCAAATATATGATTCTATACAGTATGACTTTCTGATTTTTTTAAATAATTTTTCATTTTTGTGCAATGTATGCATTTTCATCTTGGTTATAGTCCCCGTAAAATTCCCACCACCCTTGTTTTGATCCTACTCCCTTCTCCCTTCCCCTGTTGTGTATCTTTGGTTTATAGTTGCCTGTTGATTTTGATGACTTTCTGATTTTTGATTTCTCTGGGTATTTCCCTGATTTCCACTTATAAAATATCTGCTTACAAATATTGTGCGATGGGTTTTTCATTACAGCTAATACTCAGGCAATAAATATTGGCTACCTATAGAAAACAGGGTGTTTTTCAATCTTTAAACCGAAATTGAACAGCCAACAGCTCTGTTCATCAGCTGGAACCCTCAGACCCCAGCATTTTCTCTAGAATGGCCTCCTCTTTCTTGCTCAGCTATTTTCTCACCCCCTCTTATAATTTCTAAATTCCCCCCCCAGAAAATGGTTTCTAATTTACCTTTTGTGAATTTTATTTACTTCTCATCATTTACCCTGTTATTCCTTTTCTCCTGTTGCTACTGATTTGCTATTTCTCTCCCAATGCCATGCCAAAAGTCATCATCAACTGTTAGAAAGTCTCCAGATTATGAAGAGCCCTCTTTTGCTGGTGGAAGAACTCAGGAGACAGTGAAATGCTGAGGCTACAA